GTTATATGCTGGGTTGATGAGAATTAAAGCTTGATATATAGTAATAAAACTAGTGATCTAGAGATGAATAGATTGGTGTACGGAGCACAATATTTTCCTGCCACAGATTAGAGCGGGGATACTAGTCCATAAAAAGGGAAGTATACCATAAAATCTCCTTTTTCACTTGATATGCATGAAGAGCTATAATATGTACAATTTTGCAAACAAATGCATGAAAAGAATAAAGACCTTTCCTAACAACAGAAGGTTCCTGACATAGGCAAATATTTGTTTTTACCTTGAAAGAAAATAGAACTAAATTTAAACTAAAATTCCTATGTGTGACAGTCCATGCCAGCTCCTATCAATGCTGATTTCAGTGGCACTTCACCTGCTGCTATAGATTTTGCATTTGATTTGCCTTTTAAAAAAAATATATATAGTTGTCAGATCCTACAGAAGACAAAAGAGCGTATCTGTATTTGGACCAGCAACTAAAATAAAAATTCTAAATGAAGTTTATAAATTAAAATGCCTTTTTAATATTTATTTTCTTAATATGAATGAATCGCATGAGTGAAACCAGTTTAGTGGTACCATTACTCAGGTCTTTTGTCTTGCTAATATAAATCAGTCAATAACAACAGATGGGCTGTACACTTTATTATGTGAAAATAAAGATGGATGTGACATACTGCAGAAGTAAACTTGCATCTCAAAGTTACTGAGCACAGAAGGGGATTTGTTACAACGGGGGAGAATGATGTGTGTCTCATATTTGTGTTTGATCATGGTTGTAAGGGGAACTTGATGCACATGTTGTTGACATAATGATTGGAAATCAAGTATGTGAATTTTTAGTGTTTGGTTGTATCTACACTCCCAGATCACTCCCAAATGGTTTAATTAGCTTTTTGACTCAAGACAGAAGAAAAAATGTCTAACTACTTAAGAGAGTTAACTAAGAGAGTTATAAAGTTTGCTGCTTTGTTGCACCATTGGGAGATGAACATTTTAAATAACTGGTGACAACTGTCAGGAAGATTTGGATCAAAGTCTTAGGCAAGATTTATCTCCTCGTATAGCGATGGAACACACAGTGAGAGGCAACCCCCATCCAAATTAAAGAAACAGGCTCAGCAGGCCACATGGTTATAACAAAGTCATCCCTGAAAAAACTAAGTCAGAGTTTGGTTTTTGAATGGACAGAGGAATGACCTGTGTTTAGCTAGGGCTGGTCAGGAGAAATTGTGATGGAAATGTTTATTAGGTCATTGGAAACTGTGGCCTTGTGAAAACACAGATTCATGAGATTGCTTCAGTGTTACCAAAAGTTCAGTTTGTAGAGAGTTGCAGAAAACCTCAGCACGGTCAAATGTCCTGTATTGACATTTTCAGGGGTAGATATCTGTGTTGGATTTTTAACAATATTTTGTTATATAATTACACTGCCATTATCATTATGGCTGCACGTTGCTGCAAGCATTACAGTGAAAGCATAACAGCGTCTCCGTGGAATTAAAAAAGATGAAATGTAAGACTTGGATCCCAGATGTGTGTTAAGGTTGATGGTTCAAAACCCTGTCCCAAGCCAGCAGCCGAATCGTCCGACTGCCGCAGCTGCGCCTGTTGCGATGGGCGAGCCGCCATGACGGCATCTAAGGTTCTTCTTCCTCATTGCATCTTCACCCCGAGAGGCGAGTGCCGCAGCCCGGCACAGGGGGGCCGCAGCTGCACGCCCCGTCTGCCTGTAAACCCCCATCCTGCCACTTCAGCCGGCGGCGGCTGGCGTGCCTGGGCGGGAGGGGAGGGGTGCTCTGCCTCCCCGCGGCAGCCGATCCCGTCTCTTTGGGGAACGCAGGGACCACCGAGGGTCTTCCCGCCACAGCCCACGCAGGCTGATAAAACCCGCCTGTTACCTTTCAGCAGAGAATAGCTGGAGCGAGGGGCTTGAATGCTAACGGAGGTAGGACTAGCTTTGCAGTGGGATTGGGCTTTCTTCTGCCAAACACAGGAAAACCCAGTCATGGTCATATTCTGGATTCTCCTCTTAAGAATCTGCTCTATAAAAAAATACCTCCAATGTTGCTACTAATAGCAACAGTATGAGGGCAGGGATCAAATTAACATACTCCAGTTTAAAAAGCCCCAAAAATCTGTCTTAGCTATCTTAAATTTATTCTGAAATTGCAGATTTTAAATGCCAGTTTCCGGGGACAAGGCAGCCTCTGTGCCCTCCGTTTGCGTGACAGTTTGTGAATGATTTCCAACTATATCCCTAACATTTAAGAGCATTCAGATGCCTCTCAATAGCAATGAGAAAAAGCTTGGAAACATAAAACTGGGCTTTATTATTGCTATAGAGTAAGGTGGAATTATAGCAAGAAGCCAGTAAGAAAACTGGCTTGTGCATGACTGCAGAATGCCGGGCTGGTGGAGAGAAACAGCTATCGCCACAATCAAAATGTGAGACTAGGTTTTCATGTACCGGGCAGCACTGTGAATTCACTTTAACATAAAAATAATATTTAAACATTAGAAGCAGTTACCTTCAGGAGGTAAAGCCAAAGCCCACACACATTATCTGCGTTGATTAAAGAAATAATTTTAAAAACCCACCTTTTTTCTTTTCAGCAACTTGCTGACCCCTCCTTTTAGACTTTCTAGCTACATATTTGATAAGATGCAGTTAATTGGTCAGGCAGCCTAAGTATTGTCTTTGATAATGTGCAGAATTCTAGTGGTGAAAATAAATACATTTGTTCTTCCAGTCACCAAAAATTAGTGAAGCAATACTTGTTTAATTATAAAACATATGTGTGCTTTGTTAGTTTCCATCTGTCTGCTTGCTGATTTGCAATTAAATGACCAGAAGAAAAAGATACGTCCTGTGGCAATTCACGGGAAATGATTCATCTCTAATGTTTCTGTGTTGTGGATGTCTATGGAGCAGCATGTGCGAGAGGGAGACAGTGGAACTGGGGAAAAAGGGGAGATATGGGTAGAAGGGGATGAGGAATGCTGAAAAGCCTCTTGCTTCGGTTCAAACATTTTTCATTGTCATGACACCAAATGTGGGCTCCCATTAACTTATTGTAACTTGTCTTTTTCTTTGGAAAAAACTGGGGAGCAAAATGGAGCAAGGAAGAAATACCTAATGGGGAGGGGAAATGGGATTGCAGAAAAAGGAGACTGGTGTGGTCAGAGTGAAAAGGAAATGTCAGAAAAAAAAAAAAAAAAAAAAGAAGGATGGGAAAGTGATAGAAGTTAAATTTTATCTGAGTATTCAGAGATGATTAGTTGGAGATGGACATGGAATTGTTATACTGTGTCACAGATTTTTCCTTTGATAGAAGAATGTCAGGCCTTATTTAGTGGCCTTTTCTTCGGTCATTGAACCAGTTCACTTCTGTTGACTCTCAGGGAGTGATGCAGTAGTGAGTCAGGCCTGTTAGTCTTTGTAAAATGAGACAAAGAGGCAGGAGTATTTTTAAATTAATATGAAAGGGGAAAAAAATAAAATAATAAATTGATGAACATATGTTCTCTTCATAAGTAGTTCCAAGAGGTTCACAGAATCTTTTGCTGTGTAAGGTGTTCCCATTACTGACAAAGACACACAGTCTACCGCCATACATGGATGGGTAGCCATATTACCTTGTCTCCCTGTCTCTTTCGTCTGTGCCTGTTCTTCCTTCTCTCTCTGCAAGAGCAGTAGCTGGAAGTAGAGCTTTTCATGCCCCTTGTAATTCTGGACACTGCCCACACAGGCATGTCTCAGGTATGGGGAGGTAGCCGTCTGACATTTCATCTTCATGAAGACTAGCAGGGAGAAGATAGGCAGCCTCCCGGAGTATTTTTAGTTTGATGTTCTGTGGTGTTTTATTGATCAGCATCAGCGGCTGTCACTGTGTATAACGATAGCTGATTCAGAGGCAAAAAGGGGGAGATTGAATAAGGCCTTCAGGACTGTCATCTTGCTGCTGGTGGATCTGTCAGTAGTTGGTATGTGTGTTGTTGTTGTCATCTGTGTCCTGGTGTGTGTGTGTCCCGCCCCTGCCTTTGCTGCTGGGAGCCTCCTGGATGTTCCTGTGCACTGACGGCAGGTGAAGAGGGTTGTTCTCTGCTGAATGAGTGCTTTCTGATGTAGAAGACAGAGGGGTTGGGAAGGGGGGGTTGTGAAGAGGGGGGGAGAGAGAAAGGGAAGTATGTGTTCGGTGTTTTCAGTGTTGCCTCCTGTGTGTTGGATTCTTTTCCTCCTTCTCCGGACTCTTACCTTGACTTTATTCATTACCATCAGCACCAGAGAGGTGCAGAGGTTCCTTGCATCCACGTTGTCCCAAAATGTCATCTTCTCACAGCTGCTCTGCCCATGTTCCAGCTCCCAATTCCTCCTCGTAGTGAGGTCAGCATGACCAGTGCACTACAAACAAAGTTTAAAAGACAGAGCTTGGTGCCTTCATTAGCAGTCTTAGCAAGAGAGTCACAGTACGAAAACAGAGGTGCAGTCTGGACTTGAATTTAGTCTTTTGCCCTTAGAGCAGATTTCAAATTGCTCATCTGAAACGAAAGGCGCTATTTCCTATTTGTACCAGCCTCAGCCAATACTAGCTATGTGCATGCACTTGATTAAACGGTGCGATAAGTCACTATTGAAAAGTGTGACCTTGAAGCCTCCCAAAGTTTCTATTATTTCTTTTTATGGTTTTGCAGGCAACTCTCCCATGCGCTAACATAATGCTTTATTGCTAGTATTGCCGGTGATGATAACAAAGGACCGTTCCCAGACATGTGAATGTGCACATCCCTGTCACATCACATAGAGGAAAGAGAGCTCAGGATGTAAAGAACAATTTCTTCCAGTTTGAAAACAGCAGTGCATTTAAGTCTCAGTCTAGCAATGCTCCACGGATAGCATTTTATTTGAAAAGTATGCTCCTTTTGAAATTTTCAGAAAGTGTTTGTTTGCCAGCTGAACTTGGGTTGTTTCATTTGTCCTTTTTGTCTCTTCTCTACAGATGATGATTTTTTTCATGAACTTCCAGAAACGTTTCCATCTGATCCTCCAGAGCCATTGCCCCACTTCCTCATCGAACCTGAAGAGGCTTACATTGTGAAGAATAAGCCTGTAAATCTGTACTGCAAAGCGAGCCCAGCCACGCAGATCTATTTTAAGTGCAACAGCGAATGGGTTCATCAGAAGGACCATGTTGTGGACGAGAGAGTAGATGAAACCTCTGGTGAGTTTGTGTTATGTCATGGAGGGATGAGAATTATAAAGCTTTAATATCAAGCTCACCATTGTAATCTAGCAGCTATTTCATATGGCAGCTACTTTTCTTTACTCTTGTTCCAGCTGTGAATTCTCTATCTGGCATTACTCAACATTAGCTGTCACAGCACAGAGGTGGTGTCTGCATCCAGGTCAGTTACTAAACCATGATTGTAGAGCACCCTGCATGAGTTTGAAACAAAAAAAGAAAAAAACAAAAACCAAAAGAAAAACAGGAGAACCGTGTGAAAAAAAAAAAAAATGGAATTGCTTTATCAGCCAGGTCTACTCCCTGTTAACTTCCCCTGTGTCACAGATTCCCAGTGGTTGCACTGTATCGTAGTCACTGACCAAGAACTACATTCTCCCCAAAGTGCAAAAGAGCAATTGCATTGTTCCTAGAACGATGTTTTCTTGGAGAGATTTGAGAAAAAAAAGGAAAAATTTAATCAGCTTCTACCAAGAAAGAAGGAGAAAGCACACCTGGGCACAGTTTAGAGCAGCGTATTGATCCAGAGCAAGCAGCTGACTGTTATTCCATTACACTTTTCTGCCTGTTCCATAGAGTCTGTATGAAGAACTACAGTAGGTTAGCAAGAAAAAGGAAAAAAAAAAAAAAAAAGGGCAAACAAAAAAACCCCCAAACCACCCATGAGCCTCATCCTTCCTTAGTCAATACCAGAAATCACACTGACATTCATGGAAGAAAAATAGGGCCCTTGTACCAAAAAGAAAGAGACAAAAGGTTTAAAATCTTGGGTAATAAACCAGTGTAAATCAAAAATATGATTGCTCCCATTTGGGAACACTGGTAATCAATAGAGTTTGAGTCACATGCAAGCAGAGAAGTGGGACTTACTGCTGTTTTGATGGCTCTGAGAAATAACTGGATACCAAGCAAGAAGGTACCTTTCATTTGGGAATTACACCACCGCTTGGTCTAATTACTTAGAAAAATAACTCCACCAGATGTCTTGGAAGTCTCTTGTGAACTGGGTTTTATTTGTTTCAGCTCATTTATTTGCACAGAGATCAAAAGCATAAGCTTTTAATGGTACTGTGGTGCTCTCAGCTTGAAAAAGAAAAGGTGGGTGTAGGAAGAAAGACTGTAGAGAAAATCTGTATTAAACTTTGGGCCTGTTTATTTGTTTGTAACGATTGGCTTTTCAAACAAGCTGACTGCAGCAGAAAAACTAAAAAAAAGAAAATATTGTTACTTAATACATCTTTAATTTTTTTCATCCATGGAAGTCCACTAGAATGAAGAAGGACAAGAAGGAGGGCAGCTCTCACTGTGTTAATTTCTTAAGCTTTTATTGTCATGCAGAAACATTAAAATCTTTTGCTACAGGTGAAATTTTTCACTACAGGAGAAAAATTCATTCTTTTTTCCTCAAAAATCTCATTGTAGGAAAACTTCATGATGTGGTAAAGCAGATTGCATTCTACAAATGTAGAGGGCCAGTCCTGAAAAGAGATGCATCTGACTATATTACAGGACAAATATTTTGCATAACAAGCAGCAGCAATTATATGCAAACAAAACCCATATCCAATTAGAGATTAACATAATCTACTGGAGTTTAGGGGGGAGGAGGATGTCAAAAGCTGCGCACATCACATTATTAGTACAAGAGCCACAAACGCAGTCACACTAATAGCTTGTTAAAATGAAACTGTCATCAGAACCTAAATTTGTCAGTAAACCTGGTTGTTGCCAAAAGGTTGGTTAATGCACGTCACGGTTGCAGTGTTTGTGCACCTTCCTGTAAGTAGATTGAGAATCTAGGGTTCATAGCACATAGTTAGTATAGAAATGAGAAAATGATATATTGAAAGTAATGGTAAGATAATATCTTTTTCAAAGCAATGGAAGATCAGGAAAGTATATCCCCTGCAGATGGAGCTGGAGAAAAAGTTGCAGGAGACAGTGACTGTGAGGATTCACTCTGATGCCCGAAGAAGGAGCTATCAGCTTGGCAGCTTGCACCCATCAGGCTGGCAAAGCCCTTTGACTCTACCATTTTTGAGGTTATTTTGGATTCTTTTGCTATTTTTGGGTAGCTAGCACAGTGGTTGTAACCTAGGGTGCAGCAGTAGTGGCTGAGCTGCTTGAAGGGTGGCATAAGGATGGCAGCCCAAGCCTTTGCCGCTGCTGGCTTCGGGCTTGCAGTTTGAGAGGCTGGAGAAATTGTCCACAAACAAGGTTAGGTCTAGCCTCTACGTGGATAACCCGGGGCTCAAAGGGATCTCGGTTACTCAGTGTTTCTGGTGTCAGTGTCAGTCGTGTAATCCCAGCAACTGAAGAATGGGTGCATTCTTGTTTTCTGATATTTTACTGTTCTTAAGGTCTGTTCCGCCTAAATATGAAAAAGAGCAGCGTGCTGAGGCGGTCCCCTGCTGCTGTTTTGAACCAGGCTTTCTCTTTCAGTTCTTTAGGTAGAAAAGCAAAGGAAAGCAAGACAAACAGACAATAAAATATATGAGAGGGAAAAAGTAAAGGTCACCTGTGCTTTCTTTTCTAAAGGATGGGTAATCGGAAAGAAAGAGGACTAAAATACAGGTGTGATGCTAGCGGTACATCATTTTGGGATTGTAAATGATGCATGAAAGAGAGAAATAGGTTTTGATTTGCAAAAGATTATGTGTTCATGGACTTTGAGCCTGTGCCCAGGAATGAAATCTATGTAGAGATGATTAACTCTTCTTATAAGGCAAATTTGTTTCTGTCACTGATAAAAGCAGAGACAACAGCACAGCAATACCAGTGGCACAAGAGGTGGAGTGAGAGTGCAGCTGAGCTCTCATTGAAGCGAGCTGCTGGATGGAAATTTTGACTATATTAAGACGGTTATTTTTTTAAGAGAGGTAAATAAATATTTATATATTTTTCCTATGTATAGTTTTTTTGCTTTGTAACAGAGAGAAGATATAAAACAAGAATTATAATTATATGCACTTTGCACTATAGAATATTTTTAAACAGTAGGTAAAGCATTGCTGTAGAGAACATGCACAGGGACTCTGTGGGAGTTGTTGCCTTCTGGTTGGAGAGGATTAGAACAGTAATAGTGACAGGGTGTTCTAGTACCACTTTATTTAATTAAATTAGCCTGAAGAGAGAGCCTTACAAAAAAAATTCCGATGATTGAGTCTGAGAAGCCAGAAGCTTTACATAGAAAATCATTACATTTTGTTTTTTAATCCTCAGAGTCACTGGAATTTTTCTTCTTTATGGAAAAAGCTAAGCATTTTCATAAAGAAGTCAAATGGGTGCTTTGAAAATCTTTAGTGCACATCTTTGACTCTTTCATTTCCTATGTACGTGAAATGCAAGACAGGGCATGGTCTTTTTTATGTTTCTGCTGGAATATTTTCCCATTAATGTGGAAAATATATGTAAAGAGTAAGAACACTGGTTTTAAAAAACAAAGATGAAAGTTGTTTTGAGGGAACACATTTGATTTTATGGCTGACTGTCATAAAAGATAACAGCAATGAAAGTAAAAGGAACCCTGCAGAACTGATGCTTTTGGGGGCAAGAAAATTCCATTGTCACAGGGCAGGAAGCTCGATAGCTGCTGTAATTGTTAGAGCAGTTTGTGCACATTTTCCAAATTACTGTACCTCTGAAAATGACTGTGGCAAAATATTTTATTTTGCATGTGTTCTTTTTATGGAAAAATGTTTTCAGACACACACACACACACAATTCTGCAGTGATGGGAGAGTTGCAGATGTATAGAAAATCAATGTCCTGGACCCTTTCATTTTTCCAGAGGAATTAAATTCTGCTAAATCAAACCTCACATTCCACTAATGTACAACAGAGAAAAATCAGGACTACAGGAACCTTGTTTCTGTCTTTTCAATTTGGATATGCATTGTAACAGTTTCTCCATGACTACTAAGGTAAAATGATCTATAAAACCCCTGTTGCCCTCTGCAATGCCAGTGACGTGTTCTTCTTTCTCCTTCAAGCAAGGAGAAAACAACATTTGGGACTCTTCTAAGTGCTAATTAAATAGACATATTGGGCAATTCAGCTGGCATTATTGTTTGCCTACACTTTCTGTCTTCTTTTGCTGGGATGCATAGGGAGAGGGGGGCTCAGGGAGTTTGCTGATGACCTCCTCCATGTTCCCAAATAGCAGCAAGACAGAAAAAAGACTTTTGATCCTGGCCTGAGGTCTCAGCTAATGCAAAATTAGCAGGCTTATCTGTGCAATCTCAGAGGAAAGACATGCTGAGGAAGGCTCTGTTAAGTCGCCAATCCTTTTTCCCATGTCTTGTCTTCAGAAGTGGGCTCTCAGAAGACCTAATATCCCCCCAGGAGCATCCTGGTGATGCCCAGCCTTCGGCAAGGAGGATAGGTGGCTCTAAGGACTTTCCCTTCAGCTCCACCTTCAACTCTCTGCCTCCCCACAAATCAACGAAAACGATACAGTCAGAAACTGGCTCAGAATAAGATTTTTGTCTGATGAGGAGGGTTTATCGAATTGCACTGGGTGGATGAATATGCTCTTCTTTTCAGACAGAAATCTTTGTTTCTTTGTTTCAGTTTCTTTACATAGCTGCCACTGTGAATCCTGTGCTTACCTCTCACCATTACCTTTCCCATTAATAAAGTATTTTTGGATGACACAGATTTGGTGAAAGGAGATTGAACTTTAGATGTAGGATCAGCATTGATCTGGCAAATAGGAGGCTGTTCCCTTAAGCAATGGGCTCGGCAGCCTGTCAAGGGAGTAGGTACCCAGCTAGCTAAGTCTTTAATAGATCACCCTCTCAACAGAAAGATCAAAGATTGATGTCTGCCCTTTTGCCTTTAAAACAGCTCTTACAAGATGTTGTGTCCAAGACAGCAGTGGGGAAACCTCCACAGCGACTGTCTCTGCTCTTCTGGCACCATGTATAGAGGCAGAAAAATCACTTCCAGCACACAATGCTCTGTCACTTTATCTTACT